CTTGGCACGCCATGCTGTGGTAGGCGTCCCACATATAAAGTAGAGGAAGATGGGCACGGATGTGAGCTCAGGGCCAGTCTTCCTCAGCAAAAAGAGGAAGATTGGCAGCAGATGTTAGCTCAGGGCTAATCTTCCTAAAAAAAAAGAACCGTAAACAAGTATTGATCTTTAGTTAAGGCTGTGCCTGCCAAGCATCCAGGGTAAAATGTCCCAGGATCCACCACTTCCTCTGAAACACATCACAACCCGGGATGGACGGCTCCGTGACAGCGGAGAAAAAGGTTAATAATTGTTGGATCCAGCAGTGGGGATACGGGTGTTCCCTGAAAATTGGTTCAACTTTTCCGTGTGTTTGACATTTTTCGTAATAAAATGTTGGGGAAAGGATTAAAAATGCAAATTTGAGAAGGACGCTCCTGGGTCCCGGCCGCCTGCTTGGAGGCAGCCCCTGTACCAGGTTTTCTGACTCCCTCCAGGGGTGGTCGGTGGAGAGTCAAGTGTCTGTGCATCTATCTTTGCTCCGCCGTGCATGGGGCCTTGCCAGCCTGCTGTGGCAGCCAGCGTCCCTGTGGGACCCCCACGCTGGAGGTGGTTCTCTCTGCGAGGGACTCCGGCCACGGACACCTGCAGGGCCCCAGGACAGGCGGCACCCACACTACTGGGACCCAGGAGTCACTTCCTTCCTTGTGGGAGCTGCCTGGGGGTCCAAGGCGGCTATGGGTTTGCCACTCGGGCCTGCCTTCTGTCCTAAGCAGAGAGGACCCTCATTGAGGGTGTCACGGAAGCCCCCTGACCATATTGCCCTGGTGGCCCTGGGCCTCCTGGGTCACTCTGAGACCTGGTCGGAGCTCAGACGAGGCCGCCCTCGGCAGCCCCTGCGCTCACGGCAGATGTCACTCAACCTGAAGCTGGAAGCCATGAGCCGGGGCTCAGGAAGCCCAGCCGGGATGTGGTGTGCGGACCTCAGCTGTGCCAGGCCATGCTGGGGCATCCCCGGGGCCTTGCAGGGAGCAGCAAGGGTGCTGCCTCGGTGGACCACATCCTACTGCACTCGTGGGGCGCGATCCACCCCTCGCAGCCACCCCATTTTACAGAATTGGAAACTGAGGCTCAGAGAAGTTGTGATTTGCCCAAGTCCACGTGGCGTTTATTCATTCCGTCCTTCGGCCCAGTGCCAGGCCCTGGGTTCTGCAGTAAATGAGAATAGTCGGGCCCAGCCGTGCTGGATCCTCCCGTCTCCCTGTCTCCTCGGGCCCAGGCTGTCATTCTGCAGGAACAGAGACCTGGGGCCCAGGAATGCAGACCCCACCCTGTCCGGGTGCTGGAAGCAACCTGACCTGGGGCTGCAGAAAAACCCGTGTCTGGAGTGCCCTCTGCTGGTCGGTCTGTTCCTCGCAGCCCAAGAGGCTTTAGGAAGGGGCTGGAACATGGTGGGCAGCAAGGGAGCCCCCCACCCTGGGATGACCCATAACCTCTGTCCTGGTGGGGAGGAGTGGACAGAGAAGAGGCAAAAACAGGGAGAAAGTTAGTTTTAGAGCAAAAGTCTTGAACGAGTTGCCCCTGGGGCAGCTCCCTTAGAGATTGAGACCATGTTGAGGTCTTATCGGAGCAGCCAGTATCTAAAAACAGACATATTGGACAACAATTTAATTTCAGATTTTTTAAAATCAGAAGATCTGCCCACTTTGGATCCACATTTCCCTGTGCATGGTTGGAGGGACCTGAGCATGATGGGGTATGTGCTGTCCTGTTAGCCACAGACCCCGCCCGTCCCTATTGCATGCACGGCCTGCCTCATTTAGTCACGTGGCCCTGTGGGCATGTGAACTCTCTCCTCCGCCATCCAGAGGGCCTGGCGCCTTTGGCCGGCCAGTGGTATTGGAAGCCTGTAGGCCTGACCCTCCATGGGCCACATCCTCTTCACCAAGGCAGCTCTGTGTCCCCAGATGGACCCAGCCCACTGGTTCTGCCCTCCCCCCAACACCAGACAGAAAACTGAGGGGACCACAAGCCCGCTGAGAAATTTGGCTCAGCTCGCCAGGAGCAGGCGGCTGCCCCGGGCGCCTCTGACAGCTCCTTCAGCTGGAGCCCAGCTCCCTGCTCGTGCTTCTGAAGGAACGTGTGGGCTCTTTCCTCCGTGTGGCCCAGGGGAGGGTGGGAAAGCATGGGGGGAGGAGCAGGTTTAAGTCGACTCCGGCATTTGCTTCCAGTGAGCAGGGAAATGGGCTACGGGAGGTAGTGAGCTGCCTGTCCCTAGGAGAATCCAAGTGGAGTCTGGTTCCATTTATTCATTAATTTAACAGATATTGGTGCCTATGCTATGCCAGGCCCTGTCCCAAGGGTGGGGATCCTGTGGTGAGCACACAGGCCGGCGGGCTGTGTCCGGGAGCTGACTCCATGGGGGAGAGAGAGCCGGCGAGCCTGTACGCAGGAACGTCCCTGAACCATGGCTTGCTACTTGGGACCAAGGGACGAATGCAATGGTGATGGAGGCTGCACCACGGCCGGGGAGGCAGGAGGTCTCTGAGGAGGCAGCTGCTAGGAGAAAGGCCTGGTTGATGAGGAGAGCCGGCCGGGCTGAGTGCTGGTGAAGAGTGTGCAGGGAGGTGCAGGTGCCAAGGCCCTGAGGCAGGGCTGGTCTGTGAGCTCCAGGACCGGAAAGGAGGTGGATGAGCGAGGGGAGAGAGGAAGCTGAGATGCAGGGCCTTTGGGCTGAGGTGGGACGGGGGGTCCGTTCTCATCTCAAGGGCGGGGACCAGCTTGTCCCGGGAGCGGGAGGTTACAGCCGATGCCTCGATGGCTCCACAGCCTCTGTTGGGAGGGGGCGTCTCTAGCTAGTTCAAGGCTCTAAGTGATTTTCCCCAAGTCAGTCATTCGTTTATCCACTCACTCATTCATCCAGCAAACATTTGCAGAGCTGGACATGCTCTGGGGCGGCGGGCGCTGGGGGCTGGGGTGAGACTGGGTCCCAACCTCCAGAAGAGGCAGTGAGTGTGGTGGGTGGGGGTGGATGAAAGCAGAGGGCATGAGAGCCCAGCCGGAGGTCCTGGGGGGCTTCCCAGAGGAGGTGTCCTCTGAGCCGAGGGGCTAGCCAGCAGTTCTGGCCCAGGGGCTGTGGCGCTGAGCTGGGGCGCAGTGGCGGACAGGCCCAACGGCACCCACAGGGTGATGGGCGTCCCCAGAGGGGCCACAACACGGCCTGAGACACTCACAGCGGGACACTCTGAGATTGCAGCCCCCCACACCCCAATTCATAAATGGAGAAACCAAGGCCCAAGGATGCAGTGGGTGCGGGGCCCCTGCGGTCCGATTTGCCCTGCGGCAGCTTATAACCTGGAGTGGACAGAAGGGCTGATTCGGAGCTGCCTCAGCTCAGGGCCAATGGTTGAGGGATGGGGGGTGTGTGTGTGTGTATGTGTGTGTGTGTTGCACACACGTGTGAAATCTATCCAACCTGGAATTTTTGGCTCCATCCTTCATTTGCTGAGCAACCCTAGGCAAGTCACTTAACCTCTCTGAGCCCATTTCATATTGTAAAATGGGTGTCGCCCTCTATACTTTGCCCTTGGGTAGAGCCCAGCCACCCCACCCACAAGAAGAGAGAGCCTGATGTCTTCTCGTACATCTCCGCCTCCCGCCTTGCATTGCACGCCTGTTGGGGAGGCAGCCTATCACCACGAGGGGAGCCTTTGTTTACAGGGAAACTGAGGCCTAGAGCGAGTGAGCAGCCAGCTCAAGTCACAAAGCAGGGGCCTGGAGCCAGGAGCGGGGACGCCCCCATGGTGGAGCTCAGAGCCCCGAGGAGGAGGAGTAGCCTGGCTGGATCGCAGACCCAGGCTGGGGTCCCCCGCCGCCCCAGCGCCTCTGGGCCCCTCTGGTGGACACAAAGGCCAGGCTCCCGAGGGAGGGGCGGGAGGGGGCTCCTGGGCCAGCGCCGGCCACGGCGGGGAAGTGAGTGGAGACAGGAAGGAAGCCGCGCGGTTGGAGGCCGGGTCGCATTGTCTCACCTGGGGCGAGGGCCGGCGTCTCCCCTCTGTCCTGCTCGGCCTAGGATGGCTCCTCAGCTCTGGGGGCAGCGGGGACACTGGGCCCTCCCCTCTCCTCTCCGGGCCCCACCCTGCTGCTGACTCCCTCCCCCACCCCAGCCTCAGTTTCCCCATCTGTAAAACCTCAGAGGGCAAGACGTCTGGTCCAGACCCGTGTACTGCTTGGAATTCCACGGCAGGTGACACTGTGACAAGTGCCAGCTGTCGCTCTAGGCTTCACCTGAGTTGGCTCGTTTGGGCTTCCCGATTCCCTGTGAGGCCCCGGGCGTCCCCAAGAGTGCAGGAACGTGCCCAAGGTCGCACAGAGGGCAGCCGGCTCCAGGGTCCAGGGCCTTGACCGCCGTGGCCTCCTGTCTGCACTGTCCCTGACCTGCCACTTGTCTATACATCACTCACGTGCAAGGGTCACACTCTCGTGCAGCCTCATCCTGAGCCACCACATTGCCAGCTTAATTAAGACAGGTGGATGGATAGATAGATGATACACAGACGATACATTGATACATGATAGACTGATAAATGATAGACGATCGATCCTGATGGGTAGATAGATGATAGAGAGGCAGATAGATAGATGACTGATAGATAAAAATAGATTGATAGATATGACAGATAGGTAGGTATATGACAGACAGAGAGAGATGAGAGATGATAGATGGGGAGTGAGGTGATGGATGAGTTGGGGTCTAAAACCAGGGCTGGGCGGACCCCCAGCTGTGCTCCCTCCCCCCACGTGGCCCCCAGGCCTTCCTCCCTTCCTCCCCCGCCCCCAGGAGGGGACCAGGACAGCAGCAGTCCCACTCCCAGGTGGGATGAGGAGCAACAGGAAAGACCTCTTCCCTCCCCCGGCCTGGCAGGAAGCAGGGCGAGGAGGGGGCTGCAGGACCTCCCAGCCGACCATCTTGGACTGGGCGAGATGCACTCCCGAGGGCCGAGCTGGAGGGGTGGGAGCCCTGTGGTCCCGGGTGAGGACCGGCTGGGGCCCTCTGGCCCAGGGAGGGGGGCTCCCCACAATCCTGTGTCCACCCCCGACCCCGCCTCATGGCCTCTCACAGCAGCCAAGCTCCTGCAGCCTGCTCAGACTTTATTGAAGCTGGAGCTGGAGTGGGAGGCCCAGAACCACAGACCCCTCCCCACAACTTCCCCAGGGTGGGCTCCACTGGACGTGGGGTGGCCAATGGCCGAGGCTCGCTCCTGGGATTTCGGACACAGCTCAGTAGCTCCCATCCCTGCAAGCATCGAGACGCCCGCCTCAGCACCAGCCCCACCCTGGGCACACACTGGGGTCAGGCGTGGACAGGGAACACTGCTCCCACTGGCTGGCGGAGGAGCCGGGCGGGAGGACCAAGCCAACAGCACCCCTCCCGGCCGATGGGGTCCCAGGGACAAGGATGCACAGTAAAGTCCTCGCTTTGGTGGGGGGCAGGGCCGGGCGGCACGGGCAGGGACATTACCCCCAGCTCAGGCTTCTCCTGGCCAGCTCCACCTGGGCCAGGCGGTGGTCACTCAGCACCTGCACCCGGGTGATGGCCGCCAGCGGCCTGTGGCGGTGCGCAAACTGCAGCACTTTGTGCTCCTGGGCGTGGACGTGGAAGTGCTCCGCGTCTGAGCTGACCTCCATCTGGGGACAGAGGCCAGTGATCCGCGGCCCTGCCGTGGAGCCGCAGCCTGGTCCTGCGTCGAGCCCCGGCCTGCTCTCTGAGGCCCAGAAGCACAGCTGGGGGCCCGAGGGTCCCCCCACCACGTGGACCACCCCCCACCATGCAGGCCCGCTGCAGACGGGAGCACCGAGCTCCCCTCTCCTAGGAGGCAGCCCAGGGTGGTGGGCATCCCGTCGCACCCACCCAGACCCATCAGGGAGACTTCTGCGCTGGCCCGGTGACCTGGACATCCAGCAAGCCCCTCCCTGATGGGTCCCAGGCAGGGACAGCAGTGCTGCTGGAAGCTGGAGACACAGGAGCCCAGCTACTACAGTATCCTTCCCACACAGCAGTGGGGCACCCCGATGCTTCCACAGGCACCCCAAGCCTGGCCTCCCTGCTGATGGGCCACACCCACCCCACCCCCACAGACCTCCCCGCTCCCCACAGGCATCCCCCCTCCATGGGCCTCCCCCTGCTCCCATCACCTCAAAGGGCTCCCCTAGCACCAGCGGGAAGACGCTGGACACCTCCTCGGGGCCCCAGCGGCCGCCCTGGAAGGCATTGCCCACCATGGTGGCGCTGGAGAACCGGGGTTTGATGTGGAAGACGATGTCCCCCTTCTCGGACAAGAAGTTGATCTCGAACCTGGGGAGGGGGCATCATGGGGGTCATGAGAGCTGCAGCCGGGGGTCATCACCCCCTGCCCCAGGCCAAGGAGCGGCCCCCTGGGGAGGGCGGGGTCCCTTACTTGTCCTCTCCGGAGTCCGAGTGTCCCTGGACCAGCAGGTTCCAGCCCGGGACCAGGCCCGCAGCACAGAAGGCTTCAAACTGCAGGCGAAAGAGGGGGACAGAAGCCACTGAGTCACGGCCTCCTACCCGTGTGGACCCCGCTTGTCCTGAGGCCCCACCAGCCTGCGGCCCCCGCCCCCCGTGTCTGCCCTTCGCCAGGTCCCCTCCCCACATGGCGGGACAGGGTGGCCGCTGCTGGCCCCGAGCCCTTGCCCGGGCGTGGGGAGGGGACAGCCCGGTGGGGACGGGCCCAGGCCGCACCCACCTGCAGCGCCATCCCGCCAGCTTCTGCTGCAGCTGAGCGGCCGAGCCGGGATATAGGCGGGCGTGCGGGGCGGTGGGGGGGGCCACCCTGGGATGGCATGACGATCCCTGTGCCCTCCCCACCCCGCCTCCTCCCTCCACCCTCAGCCCCCCTGCAGGTCCTCCATTCGAGCATCAGGAATGGGTGCCCCCGGCCAGCAGTCCCTGAGGGGTGGGTCTGGCTCTCCCACTTTGCCGCGCCCGCGGGACCCTCAGACCCCGGGAGCAGCTTGGCCCCGTTCTGGCAGGAGGGGCGCAGCCCTCGGCCCCATTTTGTCCTCCAGGGCCAGGGACCCAGCCCTACCGTCTGGTCAGGCAAGCCGGGGGCGCGGAGGCAGCCCACCCACCTGCCCTGGCCTTCGGGGGTCCCGTCTGCCCCCCTGGGGCCTCTAGCCTGTGTCCCCAGCCCCACCCGGCCTCCCCTCACCACCGCGCTCCGGCCGCTGTGCAGGGATTAGGGGGCGCTGCGGTCAGCGCATTCCAGGGCTCAGGGCGGCCCGGGGGCCCTTCCCACCCCCAATGTCCCCACCCGAGCTGGTACCTCACCCCAGAGCGGGCCGGGCGGGGCCAGCGGGGGCGGGGGCTGGGGGGGCAGGTGGGGCGCACAGGTCTCCTGACTGGATGGTGAGGCGGCCCAGAGCAGGCAGGCCAGGCAGAGCGCCACGGCCGCCCTGCGCGGGGAGCGCGCCATGAGTGTGCTGTGAGCGTGAGGTGAGTGTGCACGTAAGAGTGCGGTGAGTGTGCAGTGAGCATGCATGTGAGCATTCAGTGGGCGTGGGTGAGCGTGCGTGTGTGAGTGTGCGAGTGAGCGCACCATGAGTGTGCCGTGATCGTGAGGTGAGTGTGCACATGAGAGTGCGGTGAGTGTGCAGTGAGCGTTCAGTGGGCGTGGGTGAGGATGCATGAGTGCATTGTGAGTGTGCAAGTGAGTGTGCAGTGAGCATGCCGTGAGTGTGTGAGTGAGCGTGCCATGAGTGTGCAATGAGCATGCTGTGAGTATGCACTGAGTGTGCATGTGAGTGTGAGTGAGCGTGCTGTGAGTGTGCAATGAGCATGCTGTATGCACTGAGTGTGCATGTGAGTGTGCTGTGAGAGTGTAGTGAGCGTGGGACCTTGTGGCTGTGTAAAGGCGAGCAAGTGTGTGTGGATACGTGTGTCTGTGCATGTGAGAGGTGTGTGTGAGTGCCAGTGTGTGTGGCCCCCGGGTGCCCCGTGCTGTTTCCCTGCCAGTGTGTCTCCATGATGGCGACTTCTCTGGCCCCCAGGCCCCTAGACGCCCCCCAGGCCCCGGGGGTGATGGGCCAGGACTGCCAGCCTCACGCCACCCCGTTGCTCCCTAGGGCCCCATTCCTCCCTCTGAGCCCCTGGTGGGTGCCCGCTGGCCTCTCCCTGTGTGCTGGTGACCAGTGTTGCCTGATCAGTTTGTGGGGGGGATGCCAAGGCCGAGAGGGGACGTGGAGATGGCCCTGACTGCCCACTGGTGGGCAGGGCAATGCAGAGGCTGGGCCCCTGGGTGCTGTCCTCCCCTGCTGGCTCGGGGCAGGGCTGACGGGGCCTGCAGGGGGCAGTCCTGGGCAGTGGAGTTGCCGCACGACAAGCCTGTGCTGTCCCGGCTCAGACACCAGCCTGCCCTGCACATCCACGTTGCAACCCAGCCAGGCCGTCCGGGGGCCCGCAGGCTGCAGCCGCCTGGCACCTCCCTCCCCGAGAGAGGCAGAGAGGGGAGCCCCGCCGCCGTGGCCCAGCAGGAGGGTGAAGCCCAGTCCGGCCTCCCGCCTCCCTGTCCTGCCCCCTGTCCAGTGGGTGCCGGTGCTGGGCAGCCCTAGCGTCAGCTTCTGGGTGGGGACACGGAGCCTGGCCTCTGGCCAGTGCCCAGGGCCCAGTGCCGGGCAGAGCACGCAGTCAGGCGTCAGAGCACGCTTCCCACTGACTGGGCGACCTCAAGCTGGTGACCCCTGGGCCTCCATTCTCCCAGCTGCACGCTGGACTCAGCAGCCCTGCTCTACTCTGTGACCTCTGCCCCTGGTGCCCGTCCCTGGGGGGTGAGGGGAGGACGGCCCAGGCGGCCGCAGCCCTGGCTGGACACAGGAACCTGGGCTGTTGTTTCCTCACTGTGGGGTCTGCAGGAGTCACTGGGAGGGGCCGCCAGATTCGGCTGCCTAGAGCCCCTGCTGGGCGTCGGGGGCCAGTGGGTGGGCTGAGCCCCACACTCGCTGGACGGGCGCCCCATCTGCTGCCTAGGGCGAGGAGGCCGGAGGGACCCCGAGTCGGGCAGCGGGACCTTGCCGAGCCTCAGCCTCCCGTCTGGGCAGTGGGGTGGTTGCAGAGAGCTGGGAGGCCTTGTGGGGCAGGGAGGGGCGTGAGCCTGGCCCATCCATGGCGGCCTGGGGGTCTTAGGAGGCCCAGCCAGGACAGAGCGGACTCTGGGCCTCTGCCTACAAGGTGACACTTGTCGCTGGCAGCAATGCACGCCCGACAGGGCCTGCGGCTTTGGAAACTCACCCATGAGGGCGGGAGCCTGGAGCCGCCAAAGCGCTCAGCCACTAGGGCGGCCAAGGAGGCCAATCCGGGCTAGGGGATGGAGGGGGACACGGGGCCCCATGTGGCCGGCCAGCCAGCCCCGCGGGCCCACCCAACGTCATGGAGGCCAGGTGGGACCCCAGCCGAGCCTCAGGGGCGGGTGGCGCCGTGGGCAGTGCCCCACCCTGCATTGCCGGCCAGCCAGGCGGGGAGTGCACAGACCTGCCGCCGGCCCGCCCTTGTCCCTCCCGGATGTGCGGGTTCGCCCCCGGCTGTTGACTCTCTCGGCTCCCAGAGAGGCGGTGGGTCTCCACCCAGCTCGGCCCGAGGAGCTGCAGCAGGAGGGCCGCCTGGCTCCAAGGCCCAGCCTCAGCCCCGGGGGCCTCCGTCACCAGGCGGTGCCCAGCCTGGGGCTGGCGCTCAGAGATGCCCGGGAGGTAAATCCCGCCTCGTGGCACAGGACTAACCCTGTCCCCCAAGTGCTCCCTCTGTGCCGGGTGCTCAGCTGAGCTCTCCTCGTGCGTCATCACACGTACTGCGCCCGACAACACCGGGAGGGCGGAACTGTGATCACTGGTTAACAGAGAAGAATGGAAGGGCACAGAGAAGTCAAGTGACTTGCCCAAAGTCACACAGCTGTGGAGTAACAAAGCCAAGATTTAAACCCAGCAGTCTGTCCCCAGACATGGAGCCCCTCACCAGGCCCAGGAGAAGGGGTTATCACAGTTGGCTTCCTAGAGGAGGAGGCACCTAAAGCAGGTCTAGAAGAATGAGTAGGAGTTTGAAGGTGGCAGGGAAGGGTGCCTTCAGGTCGCTGGAAGAGCAAGAACAAGGTGGCTGAGCTCAGCACCAGGAGGCAGGACCGTGCTGGAGGCAGGGCCCGGCCGCCGGGGCGTCCACGTCAGGCAGGCTCTGACGCACCTTGGTGGCTCCAGGGGCATTGGGCATAAGTCCCCTGGGACAATTTGACGAGGGTTGCCCCATCTTTTTGGGAGGCCAGCCCAGCTTTCATGGGCTTCCTGGAGCCAGGTGTCATTGCACCCACTTGAGTGATGAGGAAACTGAGGCTCAGACGGAAGAAATCTTCCCCAGAGCCCATGATGAGGGGCAGCCGTATCAGGATGGGAGCACAGCCTCTGGACTCCCAGTTCAGTGCTCTTTCCAGCCCCCGACCCCAGCGCGAGCACCCAGCCTGGCCCACCAGTGGGCAATTCCGGGTGCCGGGCCCTGGCTGTCAGGGGTCTTAGGCTGGGCCAGGCAGCCCTCAGAGACCCCCCCACCCCAGCATCCCAAACCCTCCTGGGACCCCCCCCACCCTGCTCCCCACCCACATCTGGAACCGCCTGCTGAGGGTGAGGTCAGCTCGGAAATTCTCAGCCCCCACTCGGCAAGAAGGACGCACGGCCTCGGGCCAGCTCTCCCCCGCCGGGGCGCTTGGTGGCCTTGGCACACAGCCGCTCGCTCCTCTCCCCGCCGCTGGGGCCGTGGCTGGGCGTGCCGCTGGGTCAGCAGGCAGAGAGAGGGCGGTTTGAAAGCACCATGCCACCATCGCATAGGTGGGGAACCTGAGGCCCAGGAGGCAAGGGGCTTGCTGGGGACCAGCACGGGCAGAGCAGGGGGCGCGGAGCTCCGAGGAGAGGATGCAGTGTCCCCCACGCCCTCACGCTTCCCTCCCCTGTCCCCTCCACGGCCTCTAACAGCTGCCCCGGTCACCACCCGCCCATTAGAGCCCCACGCTCTCAGAGCTCACTTCAGTCTCCCCTAACGCCTCAGTGGGTCCCTCCCTCTGGACCGAGGTCATGTTCAATCCGAGCCATTCACTGAGGCCCTACTGCGTGCCAGGAGCTGCTGCCTTGGACCCTCAGGGCCCCCACCCGCACAGCTCCTGGCACACAGTAGGTACTCAAGAAAATGCAATGACCCTGCCACTTGGGGCAGACGGAGGCCCCAGGCTCGGGGAAGGGAGATGTGGAGCGAGCCAGGGAGCGTCCCTTGGCCGTAACCGCTGTCGCTGACCGGCTGAGCCCCGACTGCCCACTCAGTGCTGTGCAGGGGCCCTGTCGCTCCCTCCTGGGCCAGGCCAGGTACCATCCCCACGGCGCCCATGGCGGAAGGCAACCGGCTCCCACGCACTCACTCAGCAAATATCCTGCCTACTATGTGGCAGGCCCTGAGCTGTGGTTCACAAGACAGACGGACAGACAGACAGACACAGTCCCAGCCCTCACGGAGCTCCCGGTGTCTGGAGGGGATGGGGGCAGACATTAAATGACAAATTCAGCATCACATCACTGAATTATCAATGCGATAAAAGCTCTGAAGAGAAGATGTGGGGCGTGACAATCGTGGACAGGAGGCACTGGCCTGATACTTCCTGGAGGAGGTGACATTTGAGCCGAGCCCAGAAGAGGAGGGGCTAACCAGAAGAAGGGGTAGGGGAGGAGTGTTGACAGCAACTGGAACAGCATGTGCAAAGGCCCTGGGGAGGGAAGAGCTGTGGATGTGCAAAGGGCCGGGATGGGGATGGAAGACATCTCTCCCCCTACCTCTGCTGCCTGCCTGGGCCCAGCCCTGCCGGGCCTCCCCTGCCAGGCACCCCTCCCCTCCCTAACTGGGCCTGGCATTGTTCCTGGCCCAGCCGCCCACTCCATGCCCGGCCATTGTCTGGGTCTCATGCTTCCCGCCCTGGAGTCTCTTATCGCCCAGAGAATCTGCTCACTTGGGGGCATTTGGGGGCCGATAAGCTTTTACTGGAGTCGTTGCCACACAGCAGCTGCCAGTTCTGATGCCGCCCCTCTCGCTGGCACGGGCCGAAGGACACTGACGTCGGCCCGGCCCGCCTCCTGCGGGGACCCCGCCGGTTCGCCTCCTGGGGCTGCCCTCCTGCCCCACGCCTTTCCCTCCGGGCCCCGCAAACCACAGCAGCCCCACCTGCCTCGGACGGGCCGAGAGCCCTGCCCCTCTCTGGGCCTCAGTTTCTCCCTCTGAGGTTGCCAAGTGGGACAGTGTGCAGCGCCCCTGTGCTCAGCCGGGGACGGAAGCAAGGCTGGCCTTGGCCCAAAGGAGGGACGCGAAGGTGGGGCCGCGGGCGGTCCAGGCCGCTGAGACGCCACGCCAGGCGGCTGAGGCCGGTGCTTCTCCGTCCCCCGGCCTGGAGCCTGGGGCAGCCGATGGAGCCCGGCCCAGACAGGGGCTCCCCCGGAGGGAGGGCAGGGCCCACGTCAGGCCAGGCCTCAGCCCCCAGTTCTCACGACCCTGCCGGGCTGGGGGGGGCACTATCACCCCGGTGGACTTCACCTCCCATTTTACAGACGCGGCAACTGAGGCTCAAAGGGGAGATGCAGCTGGCCCAGGTTCACGGGGCCACTGGCCGGCGGGGCTGGCAGCCCTCTCCGCTCCCCTGTAGAGGTGGGCCCGGGATTTGGGGACAGGACAGAACCTCCCCCAGATCCCCCCCAGCTCCGTTCTCCCAGCTGCCACAGCTGCGCTCCCCGGCTCAGCGCTGTTAACAAGGGCCCCTCTCTTTGCAGTCGTCACGGAGCATTCACGTCTGTCCCCGGCCCTGCCCGGCGAGGGCTTCTGTTCCCACCTTACTGATGGAGACACTGAGGCCGCCGTGGGCAGGGCCCATGTTTCCCCCGTGAGTCGCTGCTGCGGGAGCCGGGTTCAAAGGATGTGCCCAAGAGACTCCAAACGCCCTTGGTGGTGCCACTTTGGGGGGCCCAGGCTGAGGGAGAGGGCTCCCTGGGCAGGGCGGGCTGGGACCTGGCAGAGGCTGACCCCAAACCAGCAGCGACTAAACCCGTGATGGCAGCCATCTTTGAGGAAGCACAACTCACCTGGACAGGCCGACCAGAAAGGCCGTGTCAGGGCCCTGGGGCCACCGGCCAGGCGCAGGAGCCGGCGGGAGGCCTGTGTGGCGGGGTGGGGGCTGGGGGCCAGCTGGGCTGAGCAGCGCGGGGCAGGACGGAGCGGCCGGCTGACATCTGGCCTGGAGAGGGGACCGTGATGATTTCTCCAGACGGGCACGGGGCTCCAGCCGCCTCCAGGGACGCGGGCTGTGCAGGTTCACAAACAGTCTCAGCGGCGGCCTGGAGCTGAGGAAGGAAGAGCCGGGAATCCAATTAGACGAGAAAGTGGCTGGGGGATCCCGGAGCCGCCCTGAAGCTGGCCTGAGATGCTGGAGCCCAAGGACCCCGGGAGCCCCCGCCCCCAGCGCCCGGCCAGAGTCAGGGACGGCCAGAGGGGACGCAGGACACCAGCCGTGGGTTGAGTGGACCTCTGCGCGCTGCTCTGTGACCTGGGGCCGTGACCCCCGCCCCCAGATGGATGTGAGGCAGGGGAGGGGGAGAAAGACCCCCGCAGCCTTCCGTTCCTCGTTCCCAAACGTGGACAGAGCTCGTGGCGTCGCGAGGAGCAGGACCGAGCACGGGCTGAAGTGCGAGATGAGCGATAGCCCGAGAAACACCTGGAGGGTTCCAGATGGCGGCTCGTGCCAGGAAAAAGTCAAAGCACAGTAGCATAGAGCTGCGCAGTCCCGGTCAGTGGCCACTGACCGCGCACGTGACACGGACCACCTGCAATGTCCGAATCGAGACGGGAGTATAAAAAAAGCACCAGATTTAGAAGGCTTACTGCGAAAAAAAAATAATAATAACCCATTCATAGTTTTTATCTTGATTACATGTTAAAATGATAATCTTTTGGATATATTGGGTTAAATAAAATGTTATTAAAATTAATTCCACCTGTTTGAAACATCTTTTTTTAACGTGGCCACCAGGAACATTACCATTGCCTCTGCGCTGTGTTCTATCTCTGCGGGCCAGCGCGGGCGGGAAGGGACGGGGCGGTATTTCATCAGGAACAGGGATGGGGGCCCTCAGGGACGTGACTGCTGCCATGAGATCTCAGGTGGAGAAAGACCTGGCCCAGGAGACCCGAGAAGAACGACTGAGGCAGAGGGCACTGTACGTGCAAAGGTCCTGAGGTAGGAGCAGCAAGGGAGCTGGGTGGCTGGAGGGTGGGAGTGGAGGGGGGTGGTGTGATGTGAGGTCGTGGAGGTGAGCTGAGGCCACACCCATGAGTGGCACGGGCTGGCACTGGGCCACGTGAGGAGGCTCCAGGTCCCCCTAAGGGCTGGGGACATTAGTGTGGGGAACAAGCTGGTCTCGGGCGCCTCTGGCCCAGCATGGCCATGGATCCCCCAGCCCTTCCCCCACCTCGGACTCGGGCGGTCATCACTTTGTGCCGTGTCCCCACACCACGCTCCCCGCGGCCCCGTGGGGCCAGCCGCCGCATGTCCCCGCCCGCCGGAGCTGATCCCCCGCTGGCTTCGACCACTCCGCCAAGACCTTCGGGAAAGGCTCAGGGGAGCCGCCAGCTCCCAAAATAACCTCGCACAGTTCCAGGACATCTGCGAAGGGGCGGGCGCCAGAACCCGGAGCTGTGAGCGCACTGGGCCCCGCAGGGGGGCTGGGAACGGGACGCGGGGGGACACAGGGAGCCGGGAGGGGCACGGGAAGGAGACGGCCTGGAAAGACCAGGAGGTGGACAGAGACCCTAGAGGCCACAGAGAAACAGAGTCAGGGAAAGGGGCAGAGAGAGAGGGTCAGGCGAATGCCCTCCCCAGACTGGGGGTCCCCGGCCCCTTTGGAAGGGACCCTCTTCTCCAGACACCCCCGGCCAGGTGGGCCTCCAGAGTAGGGAGGGGCCTGCACCCCTGAGTTGGGGTCTGACCGGTGGCCGGATGAACGGAAGTCTTGGTTGGATGGACGGCCAGCGCCAGGGCTGCGGCCCCCACGGCACCAGGGGCCCCGTCTGACCAGGCCGGGCCCCACAGGGCCTCAGAGGGTCCGAAGGACTTGTCTCCTAGCCTCCCTGTTTTTCCAGAGGGGAAAGTGAGGCTCAGAGAGGCCAAGTGACTTGTCTGAGGACCACAGCACAAGAGTGGCAAGTGAGGACATGGCTGGCCGGGCACGTTTCCCTCTGCGTCCTTCACACACTTGGTCACCACTCCCTCCCCGCCGGCCAGCAGGCTCTGACACAACGTTCCTCCCCCTGCCCTGGGGACCCAGGGCGTTGGGAACTGTCCTCTGAGCTGCGTGGCCAGCACTGGCCGAGCCTGTGGAATTTCCCCAGCCTGAGGAGCAGCAGGGCAGGGGAGAGCCACGGTGGGCTGGCACCTAAAGGGCCGGGGTGAGGAAACTGAGGCAGAGAGGGGCTGCCTGGGGGACCTGGCCCTCCCCGCCCCAGGGCCCAGCCTGGGATTCTGGGAGGTGGGGACTGAAGGGTGGTCTTTGAGATTAAAGTGTCTTTAATGCAAGATCCTCATCTGGTCCACATGATCCATCCATTCATCCATCATTCATTCATTCAACAAACACTACCTGCTCACTATGTGCTGGGAGGCCACAATGGACGAGGTGAATGATGCGGGGAGCAGAGGCCGTGGGGAGGCGGGCAGCCATGTGCAGGGTCAGGGTCAGGCCTGGCTCTGCGGGGTCTGGGTGTCCCCAGCCCACGTCTCACAGTGAGGGGGAGAGGCGTTTCCCTCTGAAAACATCCGGCTGTGAAACGACCCCTGGCCGTGGCCCCACCCCCGCCACGCCGCCTTCCAGGCTCTGATTCGTGACGTGGGAATTTTGCAACGTGGAAAGAAAATAAAAGTGGAGAAAAAACACTTTTGCGTCTAACTCCGGTGGTGACCAGGGTCTTGTGTGGGCCGGGGAGGCGGGAGTGAGGGCCAAGTTCCAGGAGGGGTGAGCACCCACGAGGTGGCCAGGGAGCAGCGGAACATGGGAGGGGCTGGTGGACCGAGGTGGGCGCCCACCTGACTGGAGGGTGCCTGGCCCTCGGGCCACAGCGAGGTGTCCTGCAGGAGGGCACCTTCGGAGGACCAGAGAGGGCCGGGTTGAGAGGCGAGGCTGGGAGTGCCTGGCCGTGAGACAGCCAGGCCGAGGGTTTCCAGGGGCAGCCGATCGCCCCGGTGAAAGGGTGCAACAGGTCCCAGAGACAGCCGGGGGCCCGGGGGAGGCGGAGGGAAAGCCTGAGTGGGCGAGGAGGAAGTGAAGACCATCTCCCCGCCTAGCGCCCCCATCCCCGCTCCAGACGGGGGCTCAGGGCCCAGGGCCGGCCGGCTCACCCCGGCCAGCAGGGTCACCAGGCCCCGCCCGCCCCGCCCCTACTCTGACTGCAGCTCCCACTTCCCCAGGCTGGGACGGGACACGAGATGCTTTCAAAAACATTTCCTTTGCAAAATAATCCTTCGAAATGTGTTTTTGGAAATGGACTCCTGATCTGAACAGGAAGAAGTTAATTACGGTCCCTCCCCAGAGGGGCGCGGGGGAGGAAGCCTGGTGGTCAGAAACATGAGCGAGGGCCAGGACGGCCAGCTCGGACACCCCACCCACGCCCGGCCTCAGCCTCCCTCGGCATGACACCCCCCCAGGCCCTCCCATCCCCCCACACTCCCCCCCACCTCATTCCCTGTCGTTGGCCCCCAAAGCAGAGCCCAAGGCCCCTCAGTCCATAGATGGGGCGACTGAGACCCAGGGAAGACCAGGGACCTGGCCAAGGTCACAGTTCGGGGCAGATCACCCCCTCTGCCTGCTGCCATGTGTTGTCCACGTGAGAGTATGTGCATGTCTGTGTGCATGCATGTGCATGCAGGTGCCACATGGGGGTGGGCCGAGGAAGGCACGTGGGGTCTGCAGTGTCAGCTCAGCTGGAGGTGGGCCTCTGCCTCACCCCACCAGGCCACCCTTGCCGGGGGGCAGAGGTGCTGGCCACCAGGACCACAGGAGGAAGGGGATGGGGCCCCCCTCTGTGCTTCTGCCCTTAAACCCCAACCACCCTCCAAACAAGGGCCATCTGGGTTCCACGTGGACCTGGACCAGGGCCCGTGATAGACTGTCTTCTGGGTGTTTCTATGTCCATCTTAGTAAGCTCTGATGTTCATGTCCTAGGTCCTATCTTACAGGTGCTGGGGCTTGTGGTTATATTGGAGGTTGGGGGCATCTAGACTCTGACCTTTGCTTAGCCATTCAGCCAGGGGTCTTCCACTCAGCCTGCGGAACCAGGGTTCATCTAAGTGCAAATCTAAGGAATAAGCCCAATGAGCCATCCTTCCATCCTTTTGACCATCCACCCACCCACCCACCCACCCTCCAATTTATCCATCTACACATTCATTCATCTACACATCTATCCTTCTGGCCATCCACCCACCTATCTACCCACCCGTCCACCCACCTGTCCATCCATCCATATTTCTATCCTTATGACCATCCGTCCACCCACCAACCCAATGTCCTTCTGTCCATCTGTATTAGTTTCCTACTGCTCTTGTAATAAATTACTACAAGCTTAGTGGCTTAGAACAACACAAATTTGTCATCTTACAGTTCTGGGATCAGAGATGGGTCTTACGGGCTAAAATCAAGGTGAGCAGGGCTGCACTGCTTCTGGGGTTTCTAGGGGAGAACGTGTTTCCTTGCCCTTTCCAGCTTCTAGAAGCCGCCTGCCTTCCTTGGCTGGTGGCCCCAGACTCCATCTTCAGAGCCAGAAATGATCTCACTCCTCCTCTGCTTCGGTCATCACATCTCCTTCTTTGCTTACAAGGACCCGGTGATGGTGCTGGGCCCACCCAGATGACCCAGGATAATGTCTCCATCTCAAGATTCTTCGCTTAATCCCATCTTCCAAGTCCCTTTTGCCACATACGGTAGCATGTTCTCAGGTTCCAGGATTTAGAACGTGGACACATGAGGGTACTATTCTGCCTGCCGTACCATCCTTCTGCAATCTGTCCATCTGCTCGTTCATCCTTTCATTTCTCCGACCATCTATCCACCTACGCGTTTTCTGTCCATCTGTCCAGTCAGCCAGGCAGGCATTTATCCATCTGTCTTTCCATCTTCCTATCTTTCCTTTTGTCTATCCACCCACCCACTCATCCATTTATCTGATCACTCATCCGCCATCCATCTCTCCATCCATCAGTCCCAACTTCCATCTTTCCTTTCCATCACCCATCCATCCGTCCACTCAGATGCCCTTCTGTCCATCTGTCTGTCCACGTGGGACAGCCTGCTAA